CTATGAAAGATCAAACTATTGATTAACAATCATGTCTACCCATGAATGCATTTACAAATATATTGTCTTTAAAGACAAGAAAATTTTATCATGTATGGATTCATCATCCCTTCTGTAAGGATCTACAAAAAAATATCAAGTGTAATTTGGTAGAAGCGAAATATTATCCTTTTATTTAAAATTAAGGAATATTTCGTCTTTCTGAACACGGCAAATATTATTTTATGTTTGTTGACTGGATCAGAGAGTATTAATATGGCGGAAAACCCAGACTTAACATTTTTACATCGACAATAGTTCGATGCTATTCATACATAAGAACTTAGACATAAATTTGATCTCGTCTTGATTCCGATTTAGAGAAAATAATCTCAGAATTTATTCGCATGAAACCTATCAAAAGTCTTAAATACCCGTGTTTTGATCAATTCAGCTGACACATATAACTTTTTTGGGTGATGATTTATAGCATAATTCGCTAAAAAACCATAGAGAACTTAACTAAAATTTTTGGTTCCGATTCAAACAAGTTTTTTTCTCCTCGTAGTCCTCGTCTAGACTCAATACATTTTATATTTTTTTTATTCCAATCCTGAGACTAAAGCTAATTCTGAACATTCCTATTTACAGTATAATTTTTGTTTCTTTAAAATTTAATATTTCCTAAAATAAATTAAAACTGTAATATTTCGATTAATCTGCAAGTTACAATTCAATACAAATGAATTTGTTGTATGTTTTTACTTGTATTCTTATTTCATTTTTGTTTAATATTAATTGTAATTCTTTTTTCGAGGAAAAGATGAAAAATGATATTTTCCAATGTTTATCTTACTTCATATTATTAAATATATGATTGAAATCTCTAAATACACGTTCTGATAATCAATTTTTCTCCTATTGAATATATTTTGTTTGAACAAGAATGTTAACATTTGTATAGATATTCACTACATTTCAATTTCAATGTGGAAGTATCGACAAAGAAAAACTGCCACGTTTTGCTGATGTATTACAAAATAACACAGTAAGATAAGATATCTATTAAGATATAGATAATAAAAGTAATCATTCAATATAGACAATCACTGCATTATGTCTTTCATGGAACATAATTGGCAATGAAGGATTACAGTGTTTTGTTAATGCATTAAAAATGAACACAGTGAGAGAGAATTTCTGCGTACATATTACATTTCTAACGTTATCATTTAACACAGACGCTCACGACACTTAATCTTCAGGGAAACCATATCGATGCTCAAGGTACACAATATCTGGCTAATATATTACAAAACAATACGGTACTATAACTCTCGACTTATTTACCATAAAATTCACATTATTGTTCAAAACAGACACTCACGACGCTGATACTTTCAGATAATATAATTGGTGATGCGGGTGTTCAATGTCTAGCTGACGCATTAGAAAGCAATAGAGTGAGAAATTTTTTTCACTCACCTATTAACTACATATTCATTATAAACATTCAACACAGACTCTCACAAAGCTTGAGCTTGAATCCGCCAACATTGGTAATACTGGAGCTCAGGATCTAGCGGAAGTATTAAAGAAGAATACAGTAAGACAAATTATCTAGTCTTCTATTATCTATTCATCATAATCAACACAGACACTTAGAATGTTGAAACTTGATCAAAACTTGATTGCTGCTGAAGGGGTTAACTATTTAGCTGATGCATTACAAATGAACATGGTAAGAAAAATTTTATAATTATCTATTAGGTAGTATCCAATACTATTGCTTTTACGCAGACATTAACATTGCTCTGTCTTAGAAATAACAGAATCGACGAAACAGGAGCGAAATATTTGGCTCATGCATTAAAAACTAATGCTGTGAGTCAAAGTTTGAAAACACCAATTATGCATTCAACAATACTATTTTCCACAGACACTTACAACGTTATCTCTTGCTAGAAATAAAATTAGCAATAATGGAATACAATATATAGCTGAAGCACTCTACACTAACACTGTAAAAGAAGCTCTCTGCTCAGTTTTTGTATACTTAACGTCATCATTGAGCATAGACACTTACAACACTCAATCTCTTCGGAACTGATATTGGTAATAACGGAATGGAATATTTAGCTAATGCATTAGAGAGGAACACAGTTATTTGAATTCTCTTGTCTTCTCTCATATATTCATCATTTTTATTTAATATAGGCACTCATAATACTGAATGTCGGCAATAATAGTTTCGGGAATGATGGATTGCACTATCTGTCCAACGCATTACAAATCAATAAAGTTAGACAGTCTTTTTTTTTCTATAGATCATTCATCCAACATTACTATTTTGATAGACGCTTAAGACACTGTATATTCAATCGAATAACATCCAAAATACAGGTATACAATATTTAGCTAATGCATTACTAAATAATACAGTAAGATACGTTCCTTAGTCATCTATCACATCTTCATCAATTTAATTCAATATAGACACTCACAACATTAGATCTTGCAGGAAATGATATTGGAGAGAAGGCACTCCAACATTTTACCAATGCATTACAAATTAATACGGTAAATTACATTATATCATTTTCACCGTAAAACACCAAGATACTTATACAAGATGTGCTAAGCGTCTATTCGGTTGCAAGATCTATATTCAAGGGATGAATAGTATATCCACAAAATTTTATGACTAAAAATATTGCTGTCAAAAAATGGCGAAATATACAATGAATAGATACTGCATTGGTTATCGTCAGATTTTACATGATAGAACTTCTGTTATGATTTCTATATCTCAACAGGAGAGGACTTTTAGAAGGTGAAATTTTTGACATTTTCACATCTCGCTTGGAGCTACATATAGACAATGTTTCATTGAAATCTGCGACATTAATTGAGCACATAGTACGTATTTGAGTCGTCTTTTTTGTGCAATAGCTCTTAAAGATAGTTCAATATTCTATAAGATTCTACTATTCATCTCTTGTCTATATTTGGTTATAGATTGAAACTTCATTTGAGAAGTGAAGTATCAATATATAATCAATTTCATGTATAACATAAGTTGTAAGATTGAGAGAATTTTTCTGCGATGTTATCTATCTCATATTCATTATCATCATTGGTAACAGACACTCATAACGCTGAATCGTGGGTCATACTTCAATACATTGCAGCAACCTGTGACTAATATTGTTTCAAGATAATATAGGATAAGTACGATTATCGTGATCAAATTTTGGATACATTTTTCAGTTAAAGATTGATTTTGATTTGTTTGAAATAATATCATTCATGTTATAATATGTTTTGTTTTTGTATTTTATTCACAATAAAAAAATAATTTGACTCTAAAATTGACTCTTCTCGTTTAAAACAAGTCCAAGAAGAAATTTGTTGAACGCATAGACGCATTATTTATTATAATTTTTCATTCAGACGATTTCTATCTATAGTATTTTGTAAAATATGATTTTATCAGCTTTAATAGCGTAAAAATTTCACTCGTCTATAACTATTGTCACTAGTAGCATTGCATAAATTAGCCAAAGAATAACTTTGATAGTCAAGAAGAACATAACATTGCATCGAATATAATCTAGAGCATGAATTACGGCATTTATAAATATCACTTGTTGTTTTTCTCTCGAATCGTTCATTTCAGAATACAAACATTATAAACTTTAAAATACTGAGAAATGCACACTATTTGTATATGTCACAGGCAAAATTCGTTTTAGATTAGGCGCAAAACCACGAAATAGTTTTTTTATTTTATTTAGAAATGAGTTTTAATTATCATTTATATTGAAATCAATTTGACACATACCGATATTTTTAAACATGATATATTCTACTTAATTCTACATCACTGTAACATAAGAATAGAACTACATTGCTTCGGAAATGTCTTATGAAATAATAATTACATTAATGAATTCTTTATCATCCATAGAAAATGAATGTTTGAAACAAATCTACCAAAAAAAGCAGATAAATTTCTTAGAAGAACCTACATTAACCAAACATAACTCCATCCCTCTCTTCCATTTTTTGATCGGGCAGATGTGTAGTTTTTCACACTCTTTGTCCGGTCTGATACGTATTGAAAACCTATATTAATATTAGAAATAATCGTAAACTCGATATTGTAGACTACTCATTTTAGCCGACACGAAATGAAGTAGAATTTTTCTTGCTTCTCATTCTCAGTAAAATTAGAAAAAATAAATAAATAGAAGTAATCGTTTTCAATCAAATTGAAATAAAAAAAAGCATTACATTGTTTTAGACATGTTTAATTAAATTATAATTACACCTATAAATTGTTTATCATCATTAGAAGATGAATCTTGAAAAATACTCTTCAGAAACCAAACATAAGTTCAGTCTATTTTTTTTATCTTCCTAAACTTGACTTTGTTTTTCTGTTGAAAGTAGTGTCGAACTCTAGATCTTCAGATTACAACTTACATTAGAATTAAAATCTCACACAACTTAATATGACTACATAACTCTGTTTAATTTTGCCTGATACAAATATGTAAATCTCATAGACTTCGCCTTCCATCTGGATCCGTTACTGTTTCCAATATGATATATAGATGGTTTATCATGTCGTTGTTACTTATCTAAGTCAATGGTAGAAGATAATCTATAAATGAAAATATTTTAAATGCTCCTTTATATGACAAATATGAACTATATGAGTTTTAACTTTGAGCAAAGATTATTGTCGATAAATGCTGCAGGTTTAATCGCTATCATTTGTATGTTTAAACTACAAAACCAAAACAGATGTGGAATGCATATTCACAAGAGACTAATTTTTCTTGCTATCAAACATTCTTAGAAATGAACTATCATTGCTTAAAAGAACTGCAAATATATATATTATTCTAATGCAACAAAAACAGAAAAGCAATCCATTATAATACATTTATAAGAAAAAAGTACAAACAAAAAAGATTCCATGGTTACATTTAAAAATAAATTCGAAATGCTCAATGTACAACTGTCTATATGTCATTCTCATTCTAATAATTATTATTTATCATATTTATGCTTGGTCATCTATTCCTTCTCATTGTCTTATACATCTTCGTCATCATCAACCATCTGTAGGACATCATTTATTACGTATTGAACATTCAATTCATAATGAACAAATATGTGAACATAAATGTTCAAGTAATCATTTATGTTCAATGGCAACATATAATAGACGATATCATCGTTGTCATCTATTTCGACATAATAATAAACATTCGATATCTCATCCATATCGATCAAATAATGTTTATTCAACATTTGCTGATTGTCCAGGAATATTTTCTTTATCTCATACGGCACAAACACGAGTGTCAATTGTTCATTGTGATTATGATTCGTATATTATTGTTTTTCGATTTAATGTTTTCTTGTGTTTAATTTTGTTTTAAATAGATTACCATGGCAACGTGCTCTTAGATCAAGATCAATTATATTTCAATCATATACATTAATTGGTATATCTTATTTACCTTGTCAAGAACTTTGTTCGTCTGTTCGTCATTGTGCGGCTGTACAATATCAAGTAAATAATTAAATTTCCTTTTTTTTTTTTTTTTTTGTATTATTCAATTGAATATAAAAGTAATATTGAAGGCTCGTGGCTTATATCGAAATCGATGTCGTTTATTACGTTCAGCTAAACCATGGGATCTTCTACCAAGTAAAGGATGGACTGTATTTGTTAAACGATCATGTCATGTAAAGATTAGTCATAATGAACTTTTCCTTCGACATCATCAACCTTTATGTAGTTTTAAATATGTTGGTCAAGGTCAACAGTAAGTGTTAATTTTTTTTTGTCTATTTGAAATATTGTTATTTATGATTGTTTTTTAAAAAAGTAAACATAATCAAGGAATGATTCATACATTTCGTCATATATCCGAAACTCAATGTCAATATTTATGTTCAAAAATAATTAATTGTGTTGTTCGTAGACGAAAATCATTGTTTGAATTTTAAACTAGAAAAAGATTTCTTTTTTGTTTAGGGTATTGAATTTATTGAAAGACAATCTCGTAAGTTTAAGAAAACAAACAATCACATTCTTATTTAATATTTCATTTGTTATGTCAGTTAATGGGTTCTAGTCTTTTGTATTATTTATATCCATTCAAAATCTAATATAACTTTTCATTGATACTGTAGATAATTAAATATCTGTCTTGATTAATTTTATTTTATTATATGTGAAGTATCAAAGTAATGAACTAATAAGAAGGTCAAATCCAATGAGGATGATGTCACTACTAAATGTCGTCAAGTAATACAAAAGAAAATCTTCGAGAATTTGATGAACTTTTTCTTTTCTAACATATAAGTTGATTGTTCCCCGTAGAGTAAAAATAGATACTGATACAACAAAAAAACCGCTTTCTAATTATATTTCTTTCAGCTGTCATCTTTTCCTCTGAAGGGATGAAATAAATAAGTATAGACAAAAGTGAAAGGAGTATTGGTACATACTATTTCAGGAAGAATGATGTAATTTGTCAATACACAATGATATTTTCGTTTGAAAATTTAGACATCTTCATTTTTCGTCAGTATGATATTCTGAGATGTTACTTGCAGTATATATGTATATCTATGATAAATATTCAAAAATAGTGAACGTTAGAAATTATCAGCGAAACGACGTTCACGAACATAGATGATTAAAAAGGATTCGGCGATGAAATATACAATTCCATGTTCTTATAAATCATAACAAATGTGTTTATCTGTAACAGTCAACGGCTTAGAAAAGGGATTATGAACTTAGATTTTTATCGTTCGTTGTCGTCCTTCACACATATTGTAACACATAAGTATTAACATCTATCAACCATCACATAACATTTATTGATAATATGTAATCTACTAAGATTCAATTGTAAAAAAAAAATCTAATTACACGATTTGAATGAAAGAATAAATAATCAAATTTTATCCAAACATTTTTCAATTGCAACGATCAATAAAATAGTATCTTATAAGATTCGATGTATTTTTTTTTTGCTTCATATATATTCCATCAATATGTTTATTTATTTTTTAGAATGTATTCTTCTTTCTCCTAATTTTCTTCGAAATGATGGTTCTATTGATGTAAAAAATCATTATCATCATCATATTTATATGAAAATGTCATGTAGTACATCTAACCATATTCTACCTGACCTAAGTTTATCAAAATGTTCTATAAATGATTTACATTGTGGTTGTCATCAAAATCCATGTCATCATGGTACATGTTTATCCCAACAACGAGAAGGATATCATTATATGTTTTGTAATTGTTATCATGGTTTTACTGGTCATTTATGTGATCAACATATAGATAGAATCTGTCCATGTTTAAATGGCGGTATATGTCTTAATGATCATTCAGGATGTACATGTTCAAATGGATATGATGGTGATTTTTGTCAGATCATATCTGATAAAAGATAAAAATGTTTTTGTTTTTTTGTGGAACAAAAACAAAAAAATTATATTTTTGAACTTTTTTTTTTTTTTTGTTTTGGTTTTGGAGCAAAATATTATTTATTAATTAGTATATCATATGCATTCAATGACCTGTAGCAAATATCATTCTTACAGCATATTTTAAACAAAAATTGGGTGCTTGACCATTTCGACGACAATATCGATAAAGAATATTTGCATTACGTTGTGAACGTTTGACGATTGATGATCGTCTATATCGATTTTGTTGCATGTTATATGTTGATTGTAAAGTTGATGATGGAAAATTTTTTACATTTGGATAATTGATTAAAGCATCGTTATTATCATTCAAATAAATGTATGACTGGAATAAATAAATAATAGTAAAAAAAATGAAAATAAATATTTACCGCTGAAGTTGTAATAATAAGGAAAACGACAAGCAGGCACCATAACTATTGAAAAAAAAAATATTTTTATTTGAATATTAGAAAGAATTTAATAATCGTTTTACTTTCATGATCGTCTAAGTAAAATTTTTAGTTAAAATTGATTAATGACAATAGAATTTGTGGTAATACCAATCGAAGTTGATGAGTCGTTCTTAGTTCTTGTCGTGAGACCATCACATTATGATAGATCCACCATTCTTTTTTCTTTTTTTCTTCTCTAGTTTCTCTTTCTCTCTCTCTCTCTCTCTCTCTCTTCTTCTGGTTGTATGTTATTCTTTATTATTTTTCTTTCTTGACTTCTCAAAATACGTCACTTATTGTTATTGACGCAACTGGTGAAAATAAAATCAAATATAAAGAATGACGAGTTCAAATGTCAACAAAAATATTTCTCAATCTTACAAAAGAAAATAATAAAAAACGATTTGTTTCCTTTTTTTAGCTATTTGATCTAGTGTGTAGTAGGATTTTTTTTTTCTTGTAACAGTTTCTATGACATCATCTCTTTAAAATGAGATTTTTGTTTTAATTGTATTATTCTTTCCTACTTAAACACTATTACAATTGTTGTAGAAGTCAAAAGAAACGTGAGTAATCTAAAGACGAATTCTCAGTAGATCTCTTTCTCTTAACTTTATCGTCTCAATTTCCCTTTCTTTCTTTTTCTCCTCCTCCTTCAATCTCTGAGTATTTTGATTGTCATGTGTCTATGCACACACACACACTCTCGAAGAAAAAACTAATTATCTGATTCATTTACGTATCATACTATTTCCTTCCCGTCTTATTGTTTAAAAATTCAAGGTCAAGAGATTGATAGTGATAACACTAAGAAGCGAAAATAAACTAAGACAAAAAAAAAGCAGAAGAGTGTCATTAATGATGAATGAATAACAAAGAAAGCTACTAGAAGAAAATAAGAAAAAGGAAATGAACAAAGCGTCGAAGATATTGTTGTTTCCGTACTTGAGCCGGTTTAACACCCACTCTTATTGTATATTTCCAAGTCAAAGCGAATATATTCAATTTCGATGAATTCCTGTGGGATTTCATATATATATATATATAAGTCAAATTTTTCATATATAAAAATGACGTGCAATTTTTATTGTAATTTGCATTTGAGCTGACTTTTTAACATTTGATAATCAATAATCATTAAGACTTCAACTCTGAATATCATGATTTATTATTATTTTAATTTCCGATCATTAGTATATGAACGCTTAGGTTAAATTTTTGTCTAAATGAAAATAAAACCTAAAAAGAGAAAAAAAATCTAAATCGTGATAATCTATACATAGGTTATTTATTCAATAAAATATTCATTGAAAAAAAAATATTTATGAGAATAAAAAAAACATGAAAATCCTATACAAAGACAAAACATACATGTTAAAAATAGAATAACAAAGAATATGATTGATTTTGACTGACTGAAAGTATTAATATGTATGTTTCAACCGTACTAATAATTCTTAGTAGAAAATGTATGTCACAATACTTCAAGTACTTGATATAATTACTCAAGAGATGATGATGATGATGATGACGTCTTTTTCTGCACGAAAGAACTAATTAGATCAAAAGTATGAGGAAGATTTGTTCTTTTGCAAGACTTCTGTTTGATCAGATTGCTATGTTTTATTTGGCAAGATACAAATCTAAATTTCTCTGATAGTATTGCTTGTATCTTTTTTTATTCAAAAATCGATCATGATTGATGATCACAATGAGTCAAGCACACACAATCGTTATCTGTTGATGATCAGTAAATGTAAATGAGTTGAAGAAGAAATACTAATAAAACGTGCATAGAACGAATAATATATTATATTGTTATTTATCATATTCGAAACTCATTGACTGATTTTTTTTCTTTTTTTCTGGATTTCATGTTTGTTGTTTTATAGCATGTTAAGTATTTGTCATTATTCTATGAGTGATGATACTAAAGTTAATAAATGAGATGGTTTTAATTAACTATGTATGTTGATTATTTGAGAATATTATATCATGTAACTGTTGAAACATGAATTTAGATAGATTAACCAACAGGTGCATGTGCATCAAGAAAATTTGGTCTTATCATCTAGTTAGTCTAGAATGATTTTAATAGACTATATTTTTCATGAAAAAGTACGAGTCAAATAATTAGAGAAAATACTTTTGAACAAGTCGTGACTTTCGAGAAAATAATAAAATATAATGAGCTTAATAATAAGCATCATTTAGAATCATTATAAACTTAGATCATTTTACCATTTAATGCAGTATCGTTAGTTTTCCGTCATATTAAACTGCTTATGCATTTTTCTGTCGAAACCTACACATCCGATGATAGAAGAAATAACTCTAAATGCAATCATTAATTATTCGTTTTTATTTTGCGATTTATTATTAGAAATCTATTAGTATCAGTCTGAGTATGCCGAACCGGTACTGATTTCATCTCTGATTGTTATAAATTTGAATGGTCATCATAATCAAGATCATATTGAATATATACTCAATCGATAAAAACTCTCAACTTTAGATAACGTTTCAGAAAAAATTGGTTTTTATTTACTTGATTTTACTGCATATTTAATAGCTTTGATATGTATTCATACAGTTAAAACATTCATAATCTTATGACTTTCATGTTGTCGGATAAGAACTTTTACCGTGAGCTTTCATTCTCGTTGTATTTTGATATATAAAAACAAACTCTATATTAATTAATCTTACTTCGAATTTTAGATGTACATTAAATTCATAGAAAACCTACAATCTCTTTTTCTTTTTTTTTATTATCTCAATCGATGTTTAGAAATCCAATTAAAAAGAGCTCCTTGACATTCACACATTGTTTTCTTCAATGATATATTTGTCTGTGAATTAAAATCAGATTGTAAATGTTTAATTTTGTTAGAAAATAATATTTTTGATTTTTGCCAATGACGACGAACAATTGATAAATTATCATCAAGTAATTGTTTACTAAGATCATCTATAATTGTTATACCATTTTTACTAATTATATTAGAAGATATTGAAGAATTTAAATATGAATTATGATATTGATTTATACGAGCAAAACCACGTACATTATCAAATGAAGAATATTTTGAAGGATAATGACGATCATGTTCCAATATACATATTTCTCGATGTTTTTCATTTTGTCGACGTAGAGACATGAGAAATGTGCGAGAATTAAAATCATGTGTAAGCAAATCAATAGATAATTCATCAGACAAATTATTCGGATGCATGATATCTGTATATAGAGAAAATGTATTAGAAACGAAAAGTTTCGCGCTCTTTCATTGACTAAAAATAAGCATTTCAAATTCTCGGTCAATAATACTTCTTTTTCTTTTTGCACGTAATAAAAAAATCAATATGCTTTTGAAAAACAAAAGAAAAATGACGACAATCACAAACGTTAAACTAACAATGAATTGCTATTGCGCATCATTGACGCAATTCTTTACAAATTTCTCTTGTTTTTTTTTTTTCTTCACTAAACCTTACTCCATTGCTCACAATCACAAAACAAATTTTTTGATGAGTTGCGGTGCGTCCAATGACGATTTTGATGACGCTGAATTCAATTCTAATGTCTCACATGCATCTACGTTACCATCATCACGGCAACAGCACAAGCAACGAGAAGCAACAAAAGATTCTTCAAGTGCACTAAAAATGTCCACAGACAATCCCTGCTAAACTATATGTTTAATTGAATGTGTTGAATTTTAGCCGTAAAAAAAATTCTTGTTAGTTATCACAGTAATTACACAGAGGTTTAATAAATCACAACTTTATATGTTGTATTATTACTGAGACAACATCTCAATTGATAGTTGTTCGAGCTAATCTTATTCGATGGTGTGTTTTATTGATAGTTCTTATTAGTCGAGTATATCAAAGAACATTCTTTTGCTTGGAGACTATCAACTATGTAAAAGATGTTCACAAACCAATAGTTGCCATTTTAACTGAAGCAAATTTTCAACCTTATGATGCATTGGATGTTATCTCGACTCAAAGGAATAAGACTTATAGCAAAAATATCAGAGATACAGATAAAGTATGAAATAAAACTTTTAAATTTCATTCATAGATTGAAAAAAATAACGATAATGTCAATTTTATTGATGGTGTAAATGAATGTACACTATTCTAATTTGTACAGTTGATAATGGTTCAATTATTGGAAAATTGGTCTATGATGAATTTATCACAAAAAATCTAAATGTTGGATTTGAAAATCTTTCAAAAGCAGATACAAAGTATAGTGTAAGACGATGTACTTTATTTGTACCAATTCTTACACCTCAAAATGAACAAACATAAATGTATCGAGAAGCATTTGAAGAAGCTTGTCAACTTCGAAAACCTTTTGTACCTATGCACACATTTCTATTGAAATCTTCTCTAAGTCAAACAAGACATTAGACAGAAGAGAGCAAATCTACCATCTAAATGATAATATGAATGTTGTCTGTGATCAGTTTTTTTTTGCATGATGTTTTTCGTCAGGAAGAAAAAAGCTTTTGTTCGTTATTGCAGAACTGTGAGGACATTAATCAATACTATTTAAACTAAAAAAAAAAAATGATACAATGTGAGGTATTTGGTTTTTTGAAAGTCAATCTAAAAACCGAGATTAACGTCTGCTAACTAGTTCAGAGTCTGAAGTACAATATCTCACAAGAGCATTAGTTGGTCTCTAGAACTGGAAATATGACCAATATAGAAGTTCTTTTATATGAACGATAGATGTCTCTGAACACATTTGCTATGATTTTATATCAACATAATAGACGAAGAAAACAAAGCGATAACTTGGATAGCAAAAAAAGAAAACGAAAATTTAAAGATACGAACCTATGAATAGTAAAATGCAGTTACAGTCTTGTGATAAGGCTTTTCATCGAAGAATCATTACTAAAACAGCTATAATGTTATCTAAAATGAATTATGAAGAAGAAGCTGAGAATTTTTATATCTAGCACATTTATTCCCATCGAAAGAAAATAAGCAATCAGAATCTTCTTCAGCGATTTAAATAACGAAG